TATATATTTATTTATTTATTTATATATGAACAATCAAATGCATGAAAATGCACCAAAAATAATTGGGTCATAAATAAACTCAGATCAGACACACGGTGGCACAACTTGAACTTCGCAGTGCAAGCTTCACTGTAATCACTCACTCACACACATCGATCTGTCCATCGATCTGGTATCGACTGGATCAGGCGACCAGGTTTTATCAATCTAGACGATAGCACTCGCGCATGCGCAGTACGCGGCATTCCTCATAACCAGCGATATATATATACATATGTATATGTATATCTATCTCTCTCTCTCTCGATATATATATATATATATATATAGACAGACAGCATGATGATCACGTCTGAGCAGCATGAAACGCGCGTTACATTACCATGCAATGCAGCACGTTACATGACCACGACACGAACGTCACATGACCACGACACGCGCGTTACAGTACCATGACACGCACGTCACATGACCACGACACGCGCGTTACAGTACCATGAGACGCAAGTTCACCATGACAACACACACGTTACACGTGCCACGCTATGGGACGCCGCTACAGCGTGCATATCGTGACAGCACGCAGTAGTAACACGTAACGCTGTGACAGCACGCAGTAGTAACACGTAACGCCGTGACAGCACGCAGTAGTAACACGTAACGCCGTGACAGCACGCAGTAGTAACACGTAACGCTGTGACAGCACGCAGTAGTAACACGTAACGCTGTAACAGCACGCAGTAGTAACACGTAACGCCGTGACAGCACGCAGTAGTAACACGTAACGCCGTAACAGCACGCAGTAGTAACACGTAACGCCGTAACAACACACAGCAACCCGTGTGAGTGGAAGAGCATCCTACGTACACCCACGTACACGCGCAGGAGGAGCAGCAACACACGCACGCACGCACGCACGCACGCACGCGCACGTACAGACACACACTCGCACACGCACGTACAGACACGCGCACGCACAGATGCACGCTCGCACGCGCACGTACAGACACACACTCGCACGCGCACGCACAGATGCACGCTCGCACGCGCACGTACAGGCACACGCACGCACAGATGCACGCTCGCACACGCACGCACACATACCTCTTGGTAACACCCAGGCGCCAGCACGCGATGCTGGCTCCATCTATATAAATAAGAAACAACTAACTCTGTGTGTGCAAACGAAATCAACGCTTTCCCAACATCCTCTCATAACTGCTGCCAAATGCAGCTAAACACACACATACGCCCGCACGCACGCACGCACGCACGCGCACACACACACACACACACACATGTCGATCGCATGTTATATATGTATATAATAACTAAAATATGTCACCACTAAAAATGTGAATCTCCCAAAATATTACAACAATCTGACCCATCTCAAAAGGTTCTAACCACTAAAGCATCACTTGGTTCGCTGGTCAATCAAAAACGTAATGTTAGGTTGAAATGAAATGGAAACCAATAGCAAAGAAGCCTTAAATGATTGAAAACGACTTGGTTTAATGATTTGGGAGTTTTACATTTATAAAAGTGAGATCTTTTTATTATATATATATATATATATATATATATATATATATATATATATATATAGTAAATAACGTACTTGTGCACTCTGGTTGCCTATTCTTGGCATCCGCGCCCAACACAACGCCTGTCTCGCTTATAAATAATTACTATGCTATTAATTACCAAATCACAGTAAGCAGATTAACATGACAAGCTGTGAGTAATCATCACACACGCACGCACGCACGCACGCACGCACGCACGCACGCACGCACGTACGCACGCATGCACACTCTCCCCCTAACCCTGACTCTCTCTCCTTCTCTCTCTCTCTCGCTATCTATCTATCTATCTACTTATGTATGTATCTCTGTTTCTCCCTCTCTCGTTTTCTTCCCTCTTCTCTCTCCTGCTTTTTCTCTCTTTTCCTCCTTCTCTCTCTCTCTCTCTCTCTCTCACTTGTTCTATCTCTCTCTCTCTCTCTCTCATACATCACGTGGGTGGGTGGTTGGGGGGGGGGTAACATAAACAAGCGTGTCCTCACGAGGAGAAAGAAAGAGAGAGAGAGTGGCAACCCTCCCCCTTTCACCACCGACCCTCCCCCTCTTGCATCCATCCACACCGCCCGACGTTCCGAGCGTCGCCATGGCAACGCATCGTTTGACTTCGAAACCCTCCAACGGCTTTTCTTGAGCGGACGGCGTGCCGTGTGGTGGCGTGTGTCTGTCCATTACTACTTTACTAGTGAGGCTTCCTGTCTTTGTACTTTACTAGCGCGGCAGTGGTGGCAGCGTCGCCATCAGCATCATTAGTAGCAGCAGCAGCAACAACAGCAACACCACCATCACTGGACTCATCTCAACATGCCATTACAAGCTGCTGCTTGCACTGTGGGGGCAGTAGCATAGTCATCATCTGAATCATCAGCATCATCATCATCATCACCACCAGCATCATCATCATCATCAGCATCAGCAGCATCATCATCAGCAGATGGGAGGGAATCCTTGCTGAGCTTCATCATCATCATCGTCACCGTAGCCTCCGTCCCCCACTGCTGCCGCCGCCGCCGCTGCTGCTGCTGCTGCTGCCGCTGGCTCGTCAAGGCTAATCACGTCTAGCACGAAGATTCCCGGCTGCTGCTGCATCGCCGCCTCCTCCTCCTCCTCCTCCTCCTCCGCTCCATCGCTTGGCTTCCCCGTGTGCAGCGGGTCAGAGGAGTCTGGGGAAGAAAGAGAGAGGCTGAGAGAAAGCGAGAGGGAGAGGCATAGGGGGAGAGAGGAAGAGAGAGAGGGAGAGAGAGAGAGGGAGAGAAAGAGTCTGAGCAACGAACATGAGAGAGAGAGAGAGTGAGAGGGATAGGGGGAGGAAGAGAGAGAGAGAGAGAGAGGGAGAATGGGCAGAGAGAGAGACAGAGACAGAGACAGAGACAGAGACAGAGACAGAGAGAGAGACAGAGACAGAGACAGAGACAGAGACAGAGACAGAGAGAGAGAATGAGACAGAGAGAGAGAGAGAAAGAGAGAGAGAGAGAGACAGAAAGAGACAGAGAGAGACAGAAAGAGAGAGAGAGAGAGAGAGACAGAGAGAGACAGAGAGAGAGAGAGAGAGAGAGAGAGAGAGAGAGAGAGAGAGAGAGGAAGAGAGACCGAAAGAATAGTTGACATTTTCGGTGAAAAACTAGCGAGTTTAAAATAAATAATTCACTATTATAATTATTTAGTAATATAACCATCAGTAAAGAATATGAAAACAGCGCACATTAAATTGCAACCTAATCAACTTGCACCAAATTAAGGAGAGTTACGCTTACACACTAGACAAGTACAGAAATATCACAACGAAATATACGACACTAAATAAATCATCGCAGAACAACAGCGAAGTTTGTTCTCATGCAAGTGCTGCTACCTGGTGTCTCCACTCGACTCGCATGTTCGTGTTCGCCGGAGCTTTCGACAGAGCAACCTCCCGTGGCACCCCCTGCGGTGGTCGTCGACGTTGCCGTGCCGACGTGCTCCAGGCCCTCTGGTGGCTTCATCTTATTGAGTTCTTCTTGAAGCTGTGCAAAGTGCCTCTGCAAAGTCAAAATGTCAAAAGGTCACAGGCGTACTACAGATTAGCTCCCTGCGAAACAAGGAATAATTTTTATATTGTGTTTCGTCAAAATGTCCCTGCAAAGCCAAGGTGCAGTTATAAAACACAAGCTGATTAAACATCCACCCAGCGATCAATAAATCAATCAATGAATCAATCAATCAGGAACAGAAACACAGCTAGACATAACTTATAACCTACACAAATATACTAATTCATCTAATTCATACTATACATAACAATATACATACATGCACGCACGCACGCACGCACGCACGCACGCACGCACGCACGCACACGCACACACACATACATATATAATATCACATTTATATTTGTGATATAATGTTAGCATATACTACAGTCTACTATTAAACGAAACACAGCTTCATAAACGAACTGTTTCTTTGTTCTTTCTAATATTTGTCTCTACAATTCAGACAAAGCATAAATTTCAAACTTTCTATTCAAACTGCAACCCGGTGAATAATTTCTGCGCTTGCTTTCAGTCGCGCTGCCATGGCAACGCGGCTTTACAAACCGACATTACGGTTCATTACCAGACATCGGTGGGTTTCAGAATGACCAAGCCTAACATTTTACTCATTATTTTATTGCCAAGCGCGAAAATCTAATGGCACATCGTTGCTTCAACAGACGTGATCCCATTATTGCGCCAACAAAATAAATCTGTTCGCTTTTTTTTATACGTCAGCCGATAAAGAACCGTCCGCCATATTGGATATTTTATGGCAATCTTTCATGTCCTTAGTAAAAAGAAGCTGCAGTCGTACGCTTGACACTGACACTCTATAATTTTTATGACAGCAACATAGGTGTTAGTCATACATGACTAATTAATGATGGGGATCGGTTGGAATTTCATCATCGATCATCGGTTGCACCCAACCGATCGATGATCGAAGATAATCGGTTGAATGTTATTGATCGCGGCCACCAGATAGTGAAATATATCATATATCATATCACACAGTATTTTTTATAATACAATATTCTAAAAACCACGTAACAGTATTATGTTTGCTTATGTTTGGTGTAGGTTTGATTTACTGTCTCCAAGCTGTAAAATAACCAAAATAAACGCAAAAAAATGAAATCAAGAGTCACTTCATCAATGTTTGCAAATTAAAAAAAATTTTTTTTGATATAGATTATTTGTTTTCATAATCGAGCGCTTAGTCGTTGGCTGCAAACGACTGACTTTCGATTATAATCGATCATGGGGACGTGCATCGTACCTTGAGTGACTGCACGTTGTGCTGCACGGCTCGCCCCGACCGCTTGTCATTGATGAACGCTTCCATGTCTGAGATCCACGTTTCTATCTGATGCACAATCTCTGACCTCTTCAACCAGAAATGCTTGTGTATGACCTGTGTGAGCGAGTGTATGGCACGTGTAATCACTCATCCCCACCAACCAAAGTTTTACTCAATGATATTATAGCGTTGATTTATTTTATGAATTATTTATGCACATTTAGTTAATGACTTTTTAATAATTACAGTAATACTTACAAGAATACAAGAAAATAAAATATAAAATAATATAATAAAAAAGGAAATAATATACAAGAACTTGTATTCAGTTACAAGTTATTATAAATCGATATTCTTGTTACATATAACAACATGAAGAGATTAATGAGAAGGCATTATTAGTACAGATAATAATTACTACTGCTGTTACTATTAATTACTGGTGTTTAATTAATTACTGGTGTTTACAGAACAGGTGATGAAAGACAACGGGACTTCTCCTCATACCCCACCCTCACACCTCCTCCCCTCCCCCCCTCCTCCCCTCCTTCCTACCTCGCGGAAGCATGGTGAAGGGTTGCGTAGTGTCTCCAGCATGGCCCACTTGGCGGTGGCCTGCTGTATATTGGAGTCGTACTCTCGCGCGCTCTGCATCCCCGCGGGCGTGCCACGCGACCGCTCGTAGCCCGGCTCGTTGAAGTAGGGTTCGGAGACGAGGATGAGGCTCTGCACCGAGACAAGAACCTGAAGGAAGCTGGACGTCTGCTGGTTCCACTTCTCCTCCGGCCGGCCGTGCCACGTGTTGAGGATGCTCAGACACACCTGTGGGTGAGAGATGAGAGAGGTGAGGGGGAGAGGGAGAGGTGAGGGGGAGAGGGAGAGGTGAGGGGGAGAGGGAAGGAGGTGAAGGAGAGGGAGAGGAGAGGGCCGGCCGTGCCACGTGTTGAGGATGATCTCCCTCTCCGTGACTCTCACCCTCTCCCTCTCCGTGACTCTCACCCTCTCCCTCTCCGTGACTCTCACCCTCTCCCTCTCCGTGACTCTCACCCTCTCCCTCTCCGTGACTCTCACCCTCTCTATGCCTCTCTCTCTCGCATTATTTCTCTCCACGTACGCACGCATGCACGCACGCACGCACGCACACACACACTCTCTCTCACTGGTTTTAGTCATAGGTGGCATGGGCAGGGATCGTAACCATATGCTGACTATTATAACAATTTTTTATTTATTATTCAGTGTGTATTTCCAATTTTGGATTAAATTTAACATTTTTATCGAAGACGTGGACTGCGGGTCAATCAGATAACCAGCAACGAAGAATTGCTTTTTATTTTAGGTAAAAAATTACAAGACATTAGACATAATATAAGGACTTGGACCTATTTCCAAGGACTTTCAATGACAAAAGGAAAAATTAAGGACTTTCATGGACAAAGGAAAAATTTCAAGGACTTTCAAGGGCTGTGGCGACCCTGTTACATTACGTTCGTGCGTGTGTGCGTGATGTGTGTGTGTGTTATATTAAATGACGATTAGCAACAAACAAACTACATAACATGCAAAGCGAATGATGTGTTTACAACAGTTATTTCTATTCATCTCAAGCACACAGACAGTTCACAGAGGAGTCGGCCTGTACAAGGATATTATTCCTTTCTGTCAACACATACATAAACAAGAAACGCGAGGTTGGGCGCCAAATCAGCGCCCCCTATCGAGCACGTACAATAATATACTCTCGTGCTCGCTCGTCCACAGTCACACTTCTTCATGCATGTTCTCTGAGCTAGCGTGCCACGTCGCGCACGCACACGCACGCACACGTGCACACGACAAAAAAAAACACAGAGAAAACTGCACGCACGCAAATCATTATTATTCCGGTTACACCGAGGTATCCCTCCTGCTGCGAACATAATATGCCTGCACGGCTAAAATTACCTCCTCACGCGACGACCACCAACCATCTCAACACTATAAACATACTGTTACATACACGATAACGCGCGGAGATAAGGAGAGGAGGGGGAGGAGGTTTACGCGGCCAGGATGATCGAAGAATGGACACGAAACGGGAGGAGGGAGGAGAGAGGGGGGAGAGATGAAGGGAGAGGGAGAGAGGGAGGAGGGAGAAGGGAGAGAAGGAGAAGGGAGAGAGGGAGACAGGGAGGAAGGAGAGAAGGAGGAGGGAGAGGGGAAGAGTACGGAAGATGAAACAGCGATGCTCATGAAAAATACACGGCGAACATTTCACAGTACGACAGAACGCCACCAGAGGTCGCCATCGAATGCTGCAGCGCCATTCAGAAGCAATATTACAGTTTTTCCAACAGCAGTAGCTATATGTAGTAGTAGTAGACTCAACCCAGCATCTAAGTTTGGCTTACACTAAAAGCTGTGCGTAACACCCACACATGTGTCTCTCTCTCTCATGCGGGACACCGTAATACCGATACATACAGTCAACCTTGTCTACAAGGGTCACTTAAAGAAAACGCTCGCACACGTACGCGAGCGCACGCACGCACACGCATCAGCCGAAAGCTAGTTCTCTTACACCACGTCGTCGTCGTCGTCTCCGCCACCACTGAGCTGCTCAATCAACTACTTCCCCTAGCTAGTCCCTCCTAGCTACATCTGCTGACACAAGACAACTAGCTAGTAGCTCTAGAACTGTAGCCCTTCGCTCTGCCACAGGGCTACAGTTCTAGAGCTAGGCAGCTAGCAGCAATACTGACAGCGGATAAGCGTGAATATGAGGAAAACAAATGAGAATGCTCGCATAGAATTCTAACTGTAGGTATACGCACTGCTGGCTACCTCAGGATAACAACAGATGTCGCACAATACGTGTGCGCATGCGCATCGCCTACGTAGAGAGATAACGACATGATATTATCCTCTATGTGATTATATATATATATAATGCGCAGGACGTGAGGCCCGGGGGGGGGGGCATGCAGAAGATCATTGCCATGGTAACCACCTATTGGGTAGCGAGCAGCTTTTCAAAACAGCGAATAAACGATATTATAACGAAAGATTTCATGTCCCGCAGTGTAGCAGGTGACAGTACCCGGTGTGTGTGTGTGTGTGTGTGTGTGTGTGTGTGTGTGTGTGTGTGTGTGTGTGTGTGTGCAGGGCGTGTTACAGGGGGGGGGGGTCCCGGGGTCGGACCCCGGCCCACTGCGCGCAGTAAAATGCATTTTAAGAGTCATTACAATAATTTTCTGCGGGAGAAGCCACGCCCAGACGCCCACCTTCCGCGTGCGTCAGCGAACCTTCAGTCTGGTTAGAACGGCCCCCCTGGTAAAAATCCTGTACACGCCCCCTGTGTGGCGTACGTGGCGTGTGTTGCGTGTGCGTGTGTGGCATGTGTGTGTGTGTGTGTGTGTGGTGTGTGTGTCGGTGTGTGTGCTGTGTGTGTGTGTGTGGTGTGTGTGTGTGTGGTGTGTTGTGTTGTGTTGTGTGTGTGTGTGTGTGTGTGTGTGTGTGTGCGTGGCGTCGCGTCTATATGTTGTATATATATATAAATACTATATATATATATATATATATATATATTTTATTTATTTTATATATGGAAACAAAAAAATGCAAAATGCATGAAATGCACAGAACAAAATAATGGGACATAAATAAACTCAGATCAGACACAGCGGTGGCACAACTTGAACTTCGCAGTGCAAGCTTCACTGTAAATCACTCCTCCACACACATCCGATCTGTCGCACGATCTGGTAATCGACGGATCAGGCGACCAGGTTTTTGGAGAGAGACCAGGGGATGGATGGATGGCATTGGAATGGATGATGGAAGAATTAAATTGCATTTTCACGTGCGTACTTGTTAAATTATTGAAATCACAAAATAGAGTGATCAATAAATTAATATAGTAGCACGCTCGTGCGTGTTTAGGCTGATCACCACGTATGTTTCCGAACGCGCGTAGCGCTACGTTCATGCTATCACGTAGTTGTGTTGGAGTGCGTGTGCGCGCGCGCACGATCATATATGCGTGTGACTGTACGTGGCTACTACTGCGCACAGGTAGCATAAAACATGTAACATGTAATTTTCTAGATCCCCTGGCAATTGATGGCCGTGATGCATTAATATCGGAATACAGGTCCCGACTATGTAATGGCCCTATTCAGGAGCCGATCTCGTTTGGCAATGCGTGAGGTAGGCAGCCCACCTACTCAATTATTTAAGCACTTATTGCCGGCGTTATTGCATGTGGCCTGTTTCGCATAATGCTGTAGAGCCTATCGAGTTATAACAGAGGCGCCTATAGCATTCGATAGATGGCAAGGACACAAGTGAGCGGCACATGTTAGAGAGAATGTTCTGCAACTATCACAGCTAAACCTCCTCGTCTCGTAACTCCTGCTTGCCGCTATTCTCACCGGCACAGCGGTTTACCAACTTCTATCCCAAAAGATATCCCAGGTTGTACGCAACGGAAACGTGCTTCTTCCGTTTTAGAGCCAAAAAAATACAGGCAGTAGTATCCAGGCAGGATGAATTGTCGTATAGCGTTCTGTGTACGTTTGTCACCCAAACGCGCGCCAAATTG